TAATTGTGCCAGACCTCCACGGCAACAACAACGACAACAACTCTGCAACCCTGTGGTGCTCAGACACTTTATAACTGTCATACAGAAAATGAAAGCTGAAGATGAGGCAGTGAAATTTAAAGGAACTTCCCTGATTAACTAAAGGAGGGAATTACCTCTAACCACAGACCAAATGTAGATCAGTGGTTGGTTCTGTTTTCCTGCTCTACAACTTAAGCCAGGTAAGACAGCCTTGTCAACAATGACACTGACATGTCAGTTATGCTTTCAATCATTCAAGTTCAGCGTCCAATGAAAAAATATGTTTTTTGTCTGTTTTTAATTAGGTTTTTGTCTACCTGTTTTAAGTGTACTTGGCAAGGCCATGAAAAAGAAAGCAGTATGAGGGGCTGCACAGTTGAGAGAAGGTTCAGAATCAAAAGGCTCTCTGGAAAATAGAGGAAATCAATAAATAAAGTAGAACACAGGGCACGTGAGGGGAAAATTGTTTAACCTAAACAACTTGAAGTAAACAACCCGACCAGTGGAGGTGAATGAGCTCGGACTTTTCCATTAGTATCCGAGGAGAGATTTTATTTTTCCATTTATGGACAAGGAGACGCCCTGTTTCTGCTGCACTGGGAAATAAACCCCATGAGAGAGTTTCCCAGTAACAGACAGAGACAAGAAGAAGCTTCCCATTCACACCCAGTGAAGCAGCTCTGGCCAGAGCAGCCTCTGACAGCCTCTGGATTTATCCCCTGCCATTATTTCAGCCAGCAGACCCATTCAGGTGCTCCTCCGAGGTCCTGGCATTTAAAAATGCTTTCTCATGCCAACTGCAGCCAACTGGGAGAGCAACTCTGCTCTGAGGCAACCTGACAACCGTCGCCAGGGTTGAGAAAGAAATAAACCGGCCTCTCTGTGTTTGTTTGGAAAATGGTACCGTCATAAAACCGAGCTTCATCTTTTCATTTGATTCACTTGATTTTAAAGGCTGTTTGTATGTTTCATTCTTTCTTTCTTTTGTGAGATATTTCTATCAGCACAAGGGATTAATTATGTGTGCTCCCACCTTTTCACATCACCTCCACCTCCGCATGCCCACCCGTTCCCAATTCCCTCATCAGTTCTTCCGTACACATACCTGCCTTTGAGCACAGCGTTGGCTTGTTCCTTTCCCTTCCCTTCCATTGTGCTATCCCCGCCAGCCTTCTGTCTCGTTATCTCGCTTGCCTTGTGTTTTGACCCTTGCCTGCCCTTTTTGGACTTTAGCCCGCCTGCTTCAGCCCCTTTGGGCTTGGTTGCCTGTTGTGACGGTCTGTCTGTTGCTGATCCTTTTTTCTGTTCAACGACCCAGATCAGCAACAGATCATTTGTGTGGGACCAAGTGGGAGCTAAGAGTGTGGGACTAACGGTACACCAACTGCCTGAGGAAGAAAATCTGCATACTGTTGTAAGAAGTGTTCTACAATAAAATACTCTATTATGATGCTCATGTTTGTTGAAAACCGTCTTGAATAAAACACTTAAATTCCTCAGAGAATCAACACTTACTGAACGTTCACAGTGAACATTATCAACAACTCTGCAGACATCCCTTCATTTCCTTTAGAGCAGACGGACTGACAGCTGGATCACTTGGAAAATGTTAAACTTAACATCTCAACGAACCTTAAAGTGACATAACAAGTACATAAACAAACAACCATTATATAAATGAAAAATCCCAATTAAACATTTAGATATAAATACCGTGTGATAAGTAATAAGTTATAGCGACTGCACTTTATTTGCAATGTCACAAGCATTAAACAAAACCAGAAAACTTATATTATTATACTTCAGTTAAAACCTATTTGACTATTTGACTTCCCTAAAGAGCGCCCAAACTTAAAATAAAAATGAGACTGTACTGTCACTTAGTGTGTGCTGTTATTATCATGAATGGAAATTCACCACGATAAATGTATCGTTCGTATACCGTCCCATCTCTACACCACAGATCTGATGTTTTAGTCTCTTGAGCAGTGTGAAATGTACATCATCATTTATTCGCCAAGTTTGTTTTCGTTGCACTTAGTTACATTTGCTAACTCTTCCACCTCATTTGACATTTTAAGTTTGGGATGGAAAACACCCCTATACTTTCACCCACTGTTAATCTGAGCAGAAGTCTAATCAGCACTTGTGTGGGTGTGCTAAACCTTTATCATGTGACGTCACATATTACGACACTGAAAGAGTACTCCAGTCGTTTAGTATTGCAGCCAATAAGTTGGGGAACTTGCAGGAGATTTGTTTTTAAATCGAAGCATCAGATGCTGAGAAATTCCTTTTTAGTCCCCACTATCAGTCCAACATTTCCCATAATGACCTCACTATGATTTCATCAGCTATTATTTCTCAGACTTGACAAAGCTCCTCCACAGCCACAGAGCAGGGTTTTCACACCCTGGTGGTTTCCTTTTAATATAAAACAAATCTTAATGACTACATGCCTGGACTTTGAATGATTTCTCCCAGGCTGATGACGATCCAACAACAGACTGACAGCGGGGAGAGTTAGTGACTTCGTTTGACCCCAGAGAAGAATTCAGGCCACATGAAACACAATCAGGTGTTGCAGCTGAGAGTGGATGAGTGGGCGTGAGAAAGAGAGAGGGAAGCAGCCGCAAACAGCTGACGGCACAGCGGAGTATCAAATCTAATTAAATATTATTGTTAGAGCGCCTTTCATACAACAATATAAGCTCAGGTGCTGGACAGATGTGATTAAAAACTCTTCAGGGTCATGAACAACAAGCTAATCAAGTTCATACACAGATCATTAACAACAGGGAGTGATCTTGGCTGTTGTGATTTTCTTGGCTCTGCAGCAGGTTGAAACTCCAACACTGATGCTGTGTGATAAGACACCACTGGCTCGCAGTTATATAGTTATATAGTTATATAGTTAGGTATAATAGTTAATAGTTATATAGGTTTAGCAATAGGTAGTGAATAGCGGTTTAGGTCAGGCTCTACTGCATTTCTTTAAACGAAGCGCACG